TCCCAAGCTGATGTGGGCTTAAAACGCGGCTGGGCTTATTAGCCGTGGGCTTAATAGCCAGCGACTACTGTATTACTAAGCATCCGTGTACTTGATTATGGACTCATATTTCCAAAAACTAGCAAGGATTTTACATGTGAATGATCTACGCGGTCTCGGAGCGAACGTTAAATAAGTCGAGTTTAGCATTGATGGAACTCTTTATGCGTCATTATATGGAAGAATTAAACCCTCGTAGGCAATCGCGTGGGAACAATAGTAAGTCTTTTGCACCAAATGTCCGCGTTGATACTGTCGCCTGATCCGTGTTTATGTGCGTGTCCAGATCCGTGCGCGTGCTCTTTGAACTGGTCATAAATGTTCTGAAGTTAGTTACATCCGACGGTCATTTTAGTTCTATTCTTGGCCTTTTCGGCACAGTGAGTAATATATCCATTTAATGTCTATTAAAATATATGATGTTTTTACGTTGTTGCTCACTATAATTTATGCGCAAAATGTTACTCAAACAAATACAGTTTGATCTCAAAAGCGCATTTCCAACTTTCATTATTCCAAAGTCTCATGACCCTATAACTTGATTTTTTTACTCACCAGGAGTCTTCTTATTCTGTCAAACTTATAAATTTAGGTTCTGAAATTGTGAACTACCCACCAAACACATAAATGTTACAGACCAGACCACGGGACGAAATTGTTTTCGTTCGCCAGTGACTAAACAGAGTTTTGCTCGTCCAAACTTCATGCATTGAGGATTTCTGGTCTTAGTAACTACAGTTTTGTTAGAGTGCAAACCAGCTTTTCAGTAGGTGTGCCACAAGTGTGAGAGAAGGCTCACATGTTTGCAATCCAGTTGAACCGACGCATATTAAAGCAGTTTTAATTCTGCCCTTATGCTATCTGTGCCTAAATAAGTTTATGCTTACATGCATAACTGGTATCAACGGTTTAGGATGATGAAATAGGCCTCCTTAATTTGGATGTTTTCACATGAATATTTTTTGTTTCTGGGACGCAAAGTTTTCGTCTTTTCAGCGCAGACTAAAAATCTAACTTAAGCTTACAGTCTTGAATTTTCTCAGCTA